TACCCTTGTATGCTCATTATTTTATGAGCTGTTTGTTTAATTAGTCATCTTTACCAAAGTGGCTAAATAGATTATAACAGCTTGAAAGGCTAAAAGTTGTTAATTGTCTAGATCACACCAGTACCAAAATACAATAAGTTACTTTACCTCTAGAAGGAACCCTGTAGAAGCCTAAAATACTTAAGAAAAAACAGCCTTTTATGAAACAGAATGATAATTTATGGAACCAAAAGATTAAACTGATTCAAGTAGTTTAATTTTCCTCGTTGATTTTACATGAGATGTTTCACAGTTTTTGGTGTATCAAAAGCGTTCCACTTCTCAAGATATTTTAAAGGTGTTTTTTCGTTGAATAGAAATCTTTCCATAGCGTTGCTTTCTGTATTATCAGTGATGACTAAGCGTTGAAGATTGGTTTTGTTAGAAATTATTTTAAAGGTATGTAAAAGTATTATAAAAACCATGCAAAAAAAATTGGAGCTAATTGATTAAACTTAGCTAGTTAAGCGAAAAAGACTTGTAAATTTTATTTGGTTGCCAAACAGTAACATTGCACTAAGAAAAGTTTTCTTTCACACAGAAAATTTGTTTTCAAAATTGTCAAAAATAGAAATAAGAATTTCTATTTTTTAATGCTAATTTTTATTTAAATGTCGATCTTTTTTTCTTTAGATCTGACTGCCAAATTTTTAGTTTGAAGATGAACAGTTTGAGAATATTGGCGATTTGATATCGTTTTATCATGCACATCGAAAGCCGATTACTGTTGCCAGTGGTTGTATCATCAGAAATCCAGTACCAAATATTGCTTCTTTAAAAACAATTGACAGCTTCAAAGAAATCGAACAGAATTATGCAAAAGTTGGCAGATATGGAACAATAAAAACTAGTATGTTAATGTTGGTAGCAAAACATACAGCACTTTTACTGTACCGGTAAAAGATATCGCCATAAACTGTTGTTTAATCTCTTTTTCTCTTTAACACTGTGTTACTTAGAAGTATATTGATGTTGGACTGTAATTACAGCTGAACCACGGCTAAGTCACCAAGTGCTTCTAAATGAAACTAGAAAACTATGCCTAAACACTCCATCAGCACTCCTCAATCGTAAGATGGATAGCAGAAAGGATAAGAAGGAGCACTACACACTGTCGACATTGCTAAGCCGTCCATTGCCGATTCCGGTGAAGTTGCCAATACAGAATGACGATCAAGACGAGGTAATTTTGCTGATAAAATTAATGCGTCGACCACAGTTTAAGCTTTCTTGTTTTTTGTATTAAAAAAACTCATGTAGAAAAAACTTTTTTCAAATTATTATTCTCATATCAAAATTTTAAGTTTACGGAAAAGCAGTGTTTGGTCACATTTATACATAATTTAAACTAAAAAATTTTCTATGTTTTACTCAATTTTTGTTGCTTAAAAATTTGAGAAGCCTAAAAGCACACAAAAGTGTTAAAAATTTTGGCCGTTTTTTGGCACTTTTTAATTTGTCAGCTTTCCAGTATTGCGAAATGGATTACGATGCTATGGAAGAAAACCCCCCAATTATACTTGAGAAATTTGGACAAAGTTTTGTCCGACGTCCAGAACATACCTCTTTAACATCATTAAATTCTCTTAAGGTCAAAGGCTGCAAGAACTTTGTTACTTCGTTTTTTGTTGATACTGCAAATGTAAGGTTAGAGAGGCAAAAAACGTAGGAAAATCAATGTCTCCGTTTTTATTACGTAAACATGCCAATATTAGTTTTCTATATAGGAAGAAGAACCACTTTAAAACGTCCAGTTTTTATCCGTATTTTAATTGCAAATAAGCGTCACTTGATAGTGATGAAATTAAATTCATTTGTTAAGACATTGATAATTATAAGAATTTTACATTTCAAAACTAAGACTTCAATATTTTCATTTTGTGAAGAAAAAAACTGTTTTAGAGAAAATTTCAGAATAAAAAAAAGGATCAGCTTTTGACTTTCCAAATACTTTAGACGTCACCGTCGCTTGCCATGACCCAGTCCTGCAATGATGTTAGCAAACTGAATTGGCGACTTCCAAAAGCAGGATCAGTTCCTTCTTTACCGGAACGGAAATCCACTACTTCAACCAGAGACAGTGGATTTGGTACCGATACATCGGATTACGACCATCCAGTCGGCTCTCAAGCGATACCGGGTACATCAGAAATCATTGATGCTCAAGCACCATATCCGTTGTTCGAAAAAGAAAGGCGAAAAAATTTTTCAGAATATGCCATAAAAATAAGGTATTATTTGCTTTCACTTAAAGCGAAAAATGAGTATTTGTTTAAGTAATATTCTAAACTTTTTTGTTGTGTTACCGTTCGACAGTGCACAAAAAAAATGTTGTAAACTGTTTGCTGATAAATGGTGTCATTTTTTTTAAGGAATTTAATGGTTGAAAAACAAAGTTCGTATTGTGCATTATTGATAACCAAAGAAGACTGTAGACTGTTAGGATTCTTCAACGCTTCTACGGTATCGTTCAAGAACTTTTTATTTCTTTGGCTTATACATAAACATGAGGTTCACAAGTGACTAGGCATATGTGAATCCGGTTTTCATTACTGGTGTTGACAAACTTCAACAGATTTTTTTCTTGTCAGTAGTAGAGCAAAAATCCGAAGTCTACTTTTTACGTGAAAGAAGACAAGATCTCTGTTTAAACGGGTGTTTACAATACAGCCATTCATTACTTCATCGCTCCTCTCAAGCAATAGTACAAACTGTCGCCTAAAAACAAAGCTGTTTTTAATCACCCTTCAAACAAGTGTGTCTTGTAAAATACTCACTTGAACTGTTTAGTGTTGTTCTTCAACAAACAAAAGTAAAATGTTCTTTGAAAAACAAAAGTAAAACTTTACTTTGTTTGCAGCAATTCAAAGAAGGACCAAAGTCCTGAGCTTCATCTGATTAGCACTTTTTTTGTGACAAAGTTGAGAGAAAAAAAATTTAGCCTACATAGTTTTGAAGACCTCATTACCACTTCACAACTGTAAACTTTTTTTATCTTTTGAACGCCAGTACACTTTCAAAATTTGCTACTGATTTTGCATTTCTGACGAGCTTAGGTATTTGAATAATAGTTCAAAGTAAACTTGAAAAAATATTTTGCAACGCTAGTATGCTGCTTCAATCTGCAACACTTAAACACCAATCCACTACTGTTGAATTTTGAAAGCAGGTTTTTTTTATTGGCTTCTCAAAATCCTACTTTCTCTTTCTTTTTTTTCTTACTATTTACTTTTTCCGAATTTTTTTTTTCATTTTTATTTTTAAAAATAAAAAACTGAGGTAAAAAGCGAAAAAAAATGTGTAACATGATGATTTTGTTCAGTGCTGCAATCATTTTATTTGCACATAAAACAAGTCAAACATTTATTCTTGGTCCCTTACTCTATTCTTGAGCAAGTCAACCAAATTTGCCACAAATGTTAGAGCTTCTAAAAGTTGTCGGAACATCTGATGAAAAATTCCCTTGACAAACTTGTTAATGGACAGTTATGACGTCGGTTTCAAGTCATTTGAGCACGGCTATTCCTCTTCTTTTCTTGTTCATTCTCAAATTCGCAATTATCGCGATTTTGCCGTCATTTTATTCCGTCAGAAAAAGGAAGAAAAAAAAAAAAGTCAACTATTGGAGCGATAATAAGCATTGGCATCTTTGGTCAATTGCCTAAAAAAAGTTTTACTCAAAATGATTTTCAATGCTATTTTTAGTGCTTCTAAACTTATCATGCAATAGACACAATTTTCTACGCCCATATAAGGCAGAACTGAAGCTTTCGTTGTTGCTGTTGCTATTTTTAACTCTGCTTAGACAGCTGACTTTAAAAAAAATGTTTCCCTTTTTGTTTTTTTCCTTTTTTTTTACTTTTTTTGATTAATATAATGACAACGAAGCAGAATCACATTGGTTGCAATTTGATGTGTAAACTTTATGTATGACACAACAGCAACAGTAAATAATTGCAGAACACTGTGTTTGTATCTGAGTTCAACTTAGTAACGTTACAGGCAATATATGTTTTTTTTTTTGTTGTTGTAAAGGAAAAGCAAAAAAAAAAAAAAACATTAGCACAAAGAAAAAGCTTCTTTCAAATATTTTTTTTTTTTTTTTTTTTTTTTTTT